GAAAGGTAAAGTTTTATTATTAGTTTTATTAATTATTAAATCACCATTAAATCATAATTAAATACGGGAAACAGTAGTAACGTAAAAGAGTAGCGAAAACGTTATAGGAAATATTGAAAATATAATTAAAATGATGGGCCAGTGCTAGATCATATAATAGGAAAACATGTAGTGACTTATGTACTTGGCCTCAATAATGTGATATCAATACTTTTTGTTAGAGGAATTCACAGCAATCCTGTACTTGGCGTAGTTTTTTACACGTAAGTGTTTTTTGGGGGATATAAAATTATCATAGCACCACACTTCGAATATTGTGGAACACTGCTAATGTGTATGGGTGAAACCGAAGTAAATAAACTGCAGATCGCGGAGAATAGAGCGATGCGGGTCATACTGCAATGCAGCCGCTACACAAAAGTGGATGATATGCTGACAGCGCTACAGTTTATGTCCATAAGGCAAAGACTTTATTATAATGTATGTGTATTCATCTTTAAAGCTGTCAATAACTTACTACCAAAGGAATTATAGAATAGGCTACAAATAATAGGAATGAGGGGGGGTAGAGAAACACGACAAGCTGGAAATATAGTTATACAATTTAGGAGAACAAGAAACGCACAAAAGAGTATGTATTACGAAGGAGTACAAATGTATAACGCATTACCAAATGAAGTTAAAAAGTGCGAGAGAATAGAACAATTTAAAAGAATGTTAAAAGATTATGTTGTATCGTTAGTTAAGTAAATGTTATGTACTCGATTAATGTAATTTATGTACAAAAATAGCCGAGGAGGCTAATAAATATCAATCAATCAATCAATCAATCTCTCTCTCTCTCTCTCTCTGAACAACATCACTCTGTTCGGGATCGGCCAGCAATTCCAGAAAGAACTTCGATAATTTTATCTACCCACTGTTCACTGTTCTCGTCGAGGTAGCTATCGAGATTTAGGAGAATTCAACATTACCCAGTAGTGCGCTAACCAGACTGGGCTGCTGACTGACATTTAAACGAACCTCTGGTGATTTCTGGTGGTGGATTTTAATGGACTTGTTCTCAATGGCCTTGGCTCCTACAGTTGGATCTTTTTGAATCACAGTTGCGAACAAACAATATATCCTTTAGCATATACAGAAGTTGCATATTCCACAGGAAAGTAGTGGAATTGATTTGGAAATTATGAAGGTTATTTTGTATTTGTAAGAAATTAACCTACCCAAAAACTTAGATTTTCGTAGCACTTCTACATATGCCGAGAAAATGTCCCCTAGATTAATAGATACATTCGATTTAATTTCTTTGAGCATTGTGTTGCATAACTGAGCACTAGTGATATTCCAGTCTGCCAGCCGCAAGAAAACCAAGTTAAATTTTCCGGCTGCCAACTGGAGCCAATGCTTCACGTGTACTGCAGACCAATCTTTTGAATATGCTGGTAGTTTTAAACGCTCCTGTAGAGGATATGTATTTAATGAACGTGAAAATTAATTGATTTTTCATGGACATTTCTTTAATAATAATTAATAAATAAGAAATTGAATTTTTATGAGTTATTTTATCTGTTCCTTATTGTACTATGCATCCACAACGAATTCCATTACGATTAGATTATCTTCCTCATTCAGCGTTACAGCTGCAGTATTTTGTTCTATTAATAAAAGAATAGTTAAACGTATTTTGCATATAAACATAAAAGTTAAAAAGGGGCAAACGGTTTCAGGAGTGAAAATCTGTGAGGAACGGGAGTTTTCGCGAGAGCTCAACGCGAACGAGCGTAACGTACAATATTTACAACTGTCAAGACTGGTCAAGTACCAAATCCCTCATATGACGATTTCGGCCACTTAAATCTAGAGTGAACCAGAGTTCAGAACGGTAAAGGCATAGTTGTTTTATAGTAATAGTGAAACGTTCTTTCGGGTTAACTTTTCTGGTTTATGATGATTCAAATATCTATTCGGTAACTTTTGGGTTTGTAAAAATGGGTGTCTTCGAAGTGTCGGGAATGGCTAATTATTCTTATGGTCTTACGATTCTGCTTGCGAGTTGCAGTAGCCACCTGGTAGCGCGGCAGCGAACTAGTGCTCGCTCGTGCTCCTCGTATTGGCAGGGAGCGGAGTATATAGTGGACAAAATTTCGTCAAATTATGCTATTGTCGTAAATAAACACGTGAATATTAAATATAAAAATGGTTCATAATAGTTGTGTTGTTAATTGCAAAAATACAGGCAGAAATAGTAAGTGCACATTTTACACATTTCCAAGAGCGAGCTGGAAATTAAAGCAAAGAAAGAAATAGATAAATGCAGATAAGAGAATAAAGTAAGTAATGTATAACCTAATTCTGTAGCATACTCAGACTAGCATGTGTTTCACTCTCCAAGTAATAAGTATTTTGTAAATAAAAATATATGTAAATATATGTTTAATAATAAATAAGGTGATAATGTAAGTTCCATTTCTAATATCAAAGTATTTTTGCAGTGTTGATGGATCACTGTGGGCTCCAAAACCAACAGATACCATCTGTAGTGATCATTTTATTGGTGGTCAAAAGTCAGAAGCAGAGATAAGTCCAAGCTACATCCCAACAATATTTCCTTCCATATATAAAAAACGAGAAATCAATGAAAAAACATCAATAAGCAGGTACTAAATTTAAACTAATGAATCGCTATGAAAATAGTAATAATAAATAATAATGACTTAGTTAATACATTTGTTTAAAATTTGTTTGCAGGCATACACGCTTTTTAAACCGAAGAAAAGCTAAAAGCTATATTACAGATCCGAAAATAATAACTGGCGCTGAAGTGACTTCACAAAGTAACGATATTGCAATGGATTCTATGATTGATATTGTTATGGATCGAAATGAACAAGTAGACAAGGATTGTCAGGTGAATTTTCTCCCCAACTCAAGTGAAGCTGGAAAAACGTTTATTTGTAATAGATTTATGTATGTAGGTGCTGATAAATGTGATGCAGAGATTCAAACAGAAATAATCGATGTGAAAAGTCAAATAATTATTAATCGGAAGAAGTACAAGGACAAAGAATCTAATACTCCAATCAAACATTTTGCTACTCAATCAACTGAAACATCAGAAAAAATTTTTCTTGGCTTTCAATCAATTTCAAAAGATGAGCAGCTAATCGACTTGGCTGGTGTCACTTTCAACAATTTTAAATTTCTGTTGAAAAGAACATATCCTTCGCATAAATGTACTGTTGCAAAAGAAGACAGACTAATAATTTTCTTAATGAAAATTAAGACTGGATTAACACTTTCAGCCCTTGGTGTTTTATTTAGTATTCACAGGACAACAGTTTCTAGAATTTTCCATACGACTTTACAGACTTTAGCTGCAGCAACAGCAAATTTAGTTTTTTGGCCAAGGATTAATGTTATTCAAGCAACAATGCCAAAATGTTTTTATCCGAAGTACTCAAATAGAAGAGTAATCATCGATTGTACAGAATTCAAAATTGAAATTCCGTCAGTATATTGTTATTCCCATTATAAAAAGACTTTTACAGCGAAAGTTCTCATTGGAATCACTCCTGGGGGTTTTATATGTCTAAAATCTAAAGTTGCTAACGGAAGAAAAAGCGATTCACAAATTACTATTGAGTCTGGATTAATAGATAAACTAGAAGAAGGTGATATTGTATTAGCCGATAAAGGATTCCCGGAAATAAAGGCAACAATTGATCAAAGTGAAAAAAAAATTATGCTTATTATGCCGCCATTTTTAGAGAAAAATAATGAATTTACTACTGAAGAAACAGAGGAAACTTATCATGTTGCCAGAGTAAGGATTCATGTTGAGAGAATCATGCAGAGATTGCGGCTTCATTCGATCTTGGATAAAATAACTGAGAATTTGTTTCATTGCGTCGATGACCTTTTACATATTTGTTGAGTCTTGGTCAATCTACAGCCTCCGATAATTTGGAATAATGATAAAACAGACGAATAAAGTTTCGAAATTTTATAAGAAATTGTATAAACTTAACAGCTAAGAAAATTTTTGTAAATTCTTTTATTTTTTAGTTTAATAAAGTATAATTTTAATACTTCTCATTTTTATTAAAAGTTCTCTGATACAACAACAAATTTTATATTAATCAATATCAAATATCTTCTTACACTAATTATCATAAATATAAAAAATACAAAGTTTAAAATATTTAGAACGAAATAATAAAAAATTGTTACCTCTGAATTTCTTATCTTTTAATTATTTTTGTCGTTGATATATCACTTCGAATTATTAATAATATTTACTCCTGTAAAACTTCGCTTATCAAATAATCCAACATCAATGTTGGTTGTTCCATTTATTTCTTTGGTACATATCAAGTACATAGCCGGTAAAAAATTATTAAAATAAAAATTTTCAGCACTTAGTATCACATCTTGAAGAAATTCTTCATCACGTTGGACAGGTACAGTACAGCAGCTATCGCTTACTTGCGAATAAATAAACAAATCACATGTAAACATCCCAGTTATGTACATTTGTACTTGTATCTGAGTATAGTATAAATAATTTTTTTTTAATTGAATGTCATTGTTTTCAAAAGACAAATATTTCACATTACAGGACTTTTTTTCCCAATCTACTACTGGTTGGTCATTGCACTTCATTGGACACTTAAATTCTACAAGCCTAACTACACATCCATCTTCAATAACAACAACATCAATACTGGCACATAGCCATGGTTTTTCACTAACTATTACACCTACTTTTTTTACTTGACAGCCGTTTAAATCTTCATACTTTTCTTTGGCTTTATTCTCATGACTTAAGCCATAATTGGTACAATCGTTATCAACATTAGACGGGTACAGAATATCGTGGACTAAAGTATCAATCGTTTTTCGAGTCCGTATTTTAATACTGTGAATATTGGTACTTGCAGATAATCTGAAACGCCTAGCCTGATACCACTCTTCACATTGCGATTGATTAAAAGTTTGGGAACATAGTTTGAAAATTTCTTCTTGGCTCATCACAATATTTTTGAAATAAACTTCTTATAATTGTTCTTCCAATTGATATCCTTTGCTGTAAATTGCACATCCTTTATTAAAAATAAAGAAATTTTGAAGGCATTCTTGACAATCTTCTTTTTTAATATTAGAATCAACGGTAAGGACTAGTGACGACAGCAGATTTTTTATCGTGTAATAATCGTCAAACTCTTAATCAGCAACTAGTACTAATTTTAATGCCGATTCATCTACTAACTCCTCAAGATCTACGGATGGGGGTAGATTTTCTTGCACATCAATAAAATTTTTCCTGGGATACATATATGCAAAGTTTCGTCCTTTGGAGTATTTGGCCTTGACAAACTGACGAGCACTGGGTTTTCCCCACTGGTGTTCCTGGATTAGTTTCGTCAAGCTTTCTTCATGATTAATATAATAAATCAAAGCTGCATTCCAAATAGACAGGTCTTTTGTCATAGAGTCATGTATAGTCGAAGTGCCGCGGGGTACGGGTCGCGTGCGATTAGCGCACGAGTTTGTAAAAAAAACACTCTATACTTACCATAATAAACACCGATAATCTCTGTCTACCTAGATCGCTCGCTGTGGCGATGGTATACGCTGAACGCGGGGAAGTACGCTCTGGGGAACTGCATGAGAGATGGAACGCTGTACGGCGTCAACGGGGTAAATTTCAAAAACAATTAGCTCTCGAGCTTGTGACAAACGCCTCTGTAGACATACCGTCTGACGGTTGCGGTATTCCGGAAATTGATAAATTTCAAAGGTATCTTGCTGCGGATGGTATAGCCATTGTTGTTTACGAGTTCGACAGTATAGGCAGCTGTGAGAAACCACTGTACCACGGATCGCAGATAGTCGATAGCGCGTACGGTTCAGGGAAATCACGGCAAACGCTCCGCATTCTATATTATAACTCGCAGCATTATCAACCTATTTCAAATATGCGGGGTGCCGTTGGTAGTCGTGGTTTTTGCATACCATGTAACAAATCTTAAACGCACGAGGCAGAGCATAAGTGCTCCCACAAATGCGCTAGATGTTTCGGAAAACCGCCCTGCGATTCGGCTCGCCCCACATTGTATTGTCGCGAGTGCCATAGGTACTTTTTTGGTCAAATTTGTTTCGATAATCATATAAACACGCTGATTAGTAAACAGTAGGGAAAAGAAAAGAGCGTGTGGCAGGCCATTCGCAGCTGTCCGCAGTGTCTTAGACCTCTTCAAGGAACGACTCGCAAGCACTCTTGCGGTAAGGTGTACTGCAGCGTCTGCAGGAGTGTTAATGACGTTGGATATCGGTGTTAGGTCAGACCGATAAAAAAGACTACCGCTGAAAAAAATATTCTGTACATCTTCTATAATTTTGAAACACAGCAGATACAGAAGCTGCCCGGTGACGACGCCGTGCGTATCCACACACTAAACTTGTGCGTCGTTCAGCAAGTGTGTACAGCATGCATAAATGATACAGATGTCGCGAGGTTGTGCCCGTCTTGCGGTGTACACGAGTACATCTTCGAAGAGGATCCCGTAAGGCAGTTTGTAGATTTCCCGTGCGATCCTAAAAGAAAATCGTTTCAGCGTGTGATCTGCGTGGCGCATAACGCCAAGGGTTTCGACGCGCAGTTTGTACTACGACACATCGTGAAGCGTAAAAGAAAAAGCCTAAAGCCGCCGACGCTGTTACTCAGCGGCACGAGCATCATAATGATGAAGACGGGTCGTGTAACTTTCGTAGACAGTCTTAATTATTTTCATATGCCGCTAAGCGCACTACCATAAGCCTTCGGCCTCGAGGATGCAGTTGGTTTGAAACAAAAGGGTGTCTTCCCGCGTCTGTTCAATACACCTAAGAATCAGCATTATATCGGTCCGCTACCGGCGTTCGAGTTTTATTCGCCCGATACGATGTCGTCGGCTCAGCGTAACCAATTTTTAGCGTGGTATAACGAGCAGTGCTCTGCGGGATACGTGTTTAACTTTCGAACCGAGTTTATAGGTTACTGTAGATCAGACGTTACCATTCTCAGGCAGGCTTGCGTTTCTTTCCGCGAAATGTTTCTTCAGCACGGCAACGTTTCCCCTTTCTCGGAGAGCACCACCATAGCCTCGGCGTGTTCGACAGTTTTTCGGAAAAACTTTTTGCGGGACGAGCAGATAGCTATTTTACCGCCGGGCGGGTATCGATACGGTGAGAAACTATCGCGTAAGGATGTCTTATGGCTCCTTTCGCTGGAGCATCGTTTGGGCTGTGCCATAGTTCACGCAGGGCGCACTCGGGAGTATCGTCTACCGGAGGGTACACCCGTCGACGGCTACTACCTGGACACCGACACAGGCCTGCGACACGTATTTCAGTTTCAAGCTTGTTTCTGGCACGGTTGCCCAAAATGCTATCGTATAAACAGAGATAGTCGTCTACACACGGGTGGATGCATGGACGCACGTTTCGAGAAAACGCAGGATACGAACGATAAGATTCAGTATCTAGGTTACGAGCTGACGGAAATTTGGGAGTGCGAATTCGACCGCTGGATAAACGATCCTGAACAGGCCGATTTATACAGATCGCTGAATGAGAACCCGTTGGTATCGCAGGCACCGCTCGAACCCCGCGATGCTTTCTTCGGTGGTCGTACGGGGAACACTGTCAGTTTTTATAAAGTCGAGGGGTCTGAGAAGATACACTACGTAGATGTGTGCCCACTCTACCCCTTCATTTCGAAAACGGGCAAATTCCCTGTAGGTTAGTTTACGTGGTCCCTACAGTGAACGTGGCCGATGACTGTCGCGAGCTAACGGGTGATCGCAACAACATCGATAACATGGAGGGCTTGATTAAGTGTGTGGTATTACCACCGCGCGATCTGTATCATCCCGTGTTACTGGTACGTATGCACGGTAAACTGCTCTTTGCCTTGTGTCGTTCCTGTGCAGAGGCCACGCTACAGGGGTCGTGCCCTCACGAGAATCCCGCGGATAGACTATTCGAAGGGACCTGGGTCGTGGACGAGGTCAGGCGCGCCGTACGTAAGGGGTATGAAATAACTCTGATATACGAAATATGGCAGTATGAGATTACCCAGTACGATCCGGCGACACGAACGGGCGGTCACTTTACCGATTACATAAACACGTTCCTAAAGATTAAGTAGGAAGCTAGCGGCTGGCTGCGCGAATGTGGCGACGACGACGAGGCCAAGAAGTTGTATATAGAGGAGTACGATCGGGTCGAGGGTATTCGTCTAGACCCTGATAATATAAAATCAAATCCCGGTCTGCGGTGAGTCGCAAAATTATGTTTGAATTCCTTTTGGGGCAAGTTTG